TCAAAGATTGCTATTAAAAAAACGCACAAATTTCAACATTTTTTCGCACAAATTTTAAAATTTTCCGCACAAATTTCAACATTTGATCGAAAAAGTCAAAAATCTCTTCCCATATGAAGCATAACCTTGAAAAAACATTATTAACTGAAAATTCCCACAATTATTGATCTTTTGAGCCCATTACCAAATTTACATGATCAGTCATTAGCAACTTATTTGCAAATCAAATCTTCATGTGCAAAAACACACAAATTTCAACATGGTTTACCCTACTTAATTTTATTCAAATATTTCTTTTATTGGCAAACTTTTGTTTTGCTTAAAATTCCTTGTCTAGAGACAATTTAATGCTTCTTTTAGCAATTTTTTAATTTGATTCTGTTATCAATTTGACTAATCGATGTGATTAAAATGTTTTGACTTATCTAAATTAAAGCTTTTTGTGAGAAATGACTTGAATGATATTGTTTGATGGGAGAATGATTAAATTGTTGTTGAAAAATTAGAATTCTTAAAGATTCTTTAAGATTCCACTTTAAAATTGAAGACTTAACTTTTAACAATGACAATCAATACTAAATTTGAAAGTTGAACAATTTTCTTTGCAAATCCTTGATAACTATATTACTGAACATCCTCAAAATTACTGAATGCACCACTTTAACCTAAACATAAACTTAAAACCTACAATTCGGGATTGAATTTCCAATTAAAAGCAATAATTGTTCAGAAATATCTTTTAACAAATCGTAATTGCTTTTAAATTATTTTATTATCCCACGTAGAATGTTTCATTCTTGATGACTTCTTTACTTGCTCATTTTTTCCTCCTTTAAAAATCATTTTTCAACTTGAAGAAAGAATGAGCGATAAAACAAAATAATCTTTTTGACTTTAGCCTTTGTTTTTTAGCGAAAACGACGTTGAAACAAAAAAAGTTAAATGAATACGGGAGGTCCTAACATTTTTTTTTCTTCTGTTCAATCGTGTGTGTTCTTCTCCGATATGTTTTCGGCCAAACAGAGGTTTTTAGCAGTATTTTACTTTTTTTCTCTCTTTTTCCTCACATAAAATACCTAACACGAAAATTATTATTCATTCTTGTAGTTTTTTTTCTTCATTACTTAGCTATGCCTTGAAAGAATTATGAATTATTATATATAATATGAAAAAAGCTTCTCTCTGTTTGTTTTCTTCACATTTATGTGTTCTTTCTCAAATAATATATTGTAATAAAAGAGAATTATGAAATTCCCCCCAAAATATAAAGCAGAACTAGATGAGTAGACGCTTATTTTAAGGGTTTAAAGCGCATTTTTGATGTAAATGATGATCCTTGTTTTCTAAAGGATTGAAAATTAGCTACTAAAGAAGAAAATTGACCAAATTGGCATTAGACATGGCTTTAAGAGCTTCTAAGGACCTTAGAATTGAGTATCGAATACTTCAAGTGAAGATATTAATAAAATTTGATTGTGACTTGAGTAATGAGCTCTTAGAAGCCTTAAAAATCGTTCCTAGGGTTAAACTGAGCGTTCAGTTTGCCTGTCAAAGGTCCTGAAGTCATGCTTCGATCAAAATTGTCTATCAAATCTAGAAACAAGAGACAGAGGCAATAATGCATTAAGTCATTGAGAAAATTACCTCGTACCTGCAATTTACTATTGATTTATGAGATTGTAACTTCATTTCCGAAAAGAATCCAATTTCTTCAATCAAGCCTAGAGTTTTGTCAGTTTCAAAGGACTTGCTCAATCCAAACTACCTTTCTTCTCAGAATTCTCTACAATTTTCTGAAGATTACAAAAAAAAGTATCCCAAAAGTCAGCCTCAATCAAGCAATTTCATGCTACCACTCACCCATCAAAAATGATGCTAACAATCCAATATTCGAGCGATTAAAGGAGATAAAACAAAAAAGAGAAGGAGAACAAAAAAAGGTAAGCATGTATATAAAATAGACTCATCATGTTTATTTAATCATCGAGAATATTTCTCGAACATATTTTTGATGTTTATAACGTAATGAAGCAGAGCAAAAATGATTTATGACTATTTAAAAAGGTTTAATTTATGTATTAGTGTTTCAGGTTGATTTATTTCGGGGACCTAAACTAAACAACACATCAAACAGCGGACTGTTCATTGCCGATCGCATTTTTTTCTGTTCTTTTATTTCTCATCGAAAAAAATGCATCGCCATGAAATGAATGAATAAAAGAAAAAAAATATCTTTCAGAACCAAATTGATAAGTCATCGCAATTTCTTTACTTTTATTTTTTTTTTGCAAAGCAGCACATGGAAGATGAGAAAAATAAGAATAATTTAAATTTATTGCTTCATTTTCTTGTAGATGGTGCATGAAACAGAAGAACAAACAAAAGAGTTTCGGTCCATCGTTTATAATTACAGTTCTGGAAACAAAGTGAGTTATTATGATGGCGTAATTTATCATGAAATAAAGAAGAAAGATTTTTTAATATCTTGAAAAGCTCACTCATGTACACGTTTAATGATAGCCGTTTTTTTTTTCGTTGATGTTGAGTACCCAACTATTTCATACTCTCTGGCTTACTAATATTGATCATAAAATTACATTTGACGCACGAGAAAAATGAATGACTTGAGGTAAATTAATGATAATTGTGGATTTTTAATGATAAGAGCGCATTTTTTGCAGGGCATTAGCTCTACATTTCATTACTTTTTGAGCTAGAACATTCTGAGGTATCTTAAGAATGAGCTAAGTTGATCAAATATAGGATTTAATGTTAAGGGTCTGTAGATATGGCTCGAATAGCATATCTGTAGTAGATAGGCCTAAGCATAGGGCTCACGTTGAACTGGTTTTATGTGTATGACGGATAGCCGAAGTAAGCTGAAGTACCTCCGTGACCGAGTGGCAAGGGTCTCTGATCGAGTAGTGAGAGATCGCCTCTTTTGAGTTCGTGGGTTCGATTCACATCGAATCTGACTTGTTTTACATTAGTATACACATATGGCAGTTATCTATCAGATCTCCAGGGTCAAGGTTTTGAAAATATCCTATAGTATAGTAATAGCATAGCTGAATATTATGTTAATAATAGCTAGAACACTAGAGTAGTAATACTTTGGCAACTTGGATAGTATAGTTTGAATACGTCTGAATTAAAGATAATCTTTTTGATATTTAAATATTAAGATTAGTTTAAAATCATACAAATTTTAAACTTCTTTTTTTGTAAAATCTTTCAAAGATTCAATCGATACCAAAGGATCCTAACAGAAATAAACATTAAAACTTATAGCACAGCCTTCACATCCTTCTCATCCTTCTTAACTCATCTTAATTTCCTAATTTTCAACACTGATCTAGGCCATAACTCACGATAATTATAAAGCAACAACACAGCAAGACATAACAAGCTCATAAAAACTCTTTAGATTCATCAAAAGTGTATCAAAAAAGAATTTCAAACGGTATTTAATAATACTTTTCAGCCACCCAAGATTTTTTTGGAGAAATTCTTATGTCTCATCATCCTTAAAAGAATGTATGAAATTTCTCTCACATTTTTTGTAACAGGATATTTGTATTTGATGTTCACAGAAGTTTCACCACCGGAAAGTTTAAATATTTGCAGATCCTTTGGAGAACTTCCTTGGGAGAATTTTAATGATAATCTTTCTCAAGTTCTCGTTGAATAAAAATTGATAGATTCTAAAAGTCTCATTCATATCTCATCAGAAGAACTCTTCTTAAGCCATTCTTTCATTAAATTCCATTTGATTATGTATGTACTGTTGAGAGACTCGCAAAAGCCATTGAAAAGAAATAAAAATGTTTTACCTTCAGCCAGCAAAAAAAAAGTCTTGTCGTATTTTTATTTTCTCGTGTTGTGTGTTTTTCAACCTTTTTTGATATTTCATCGTATCTTTAGAAGTTTTATTTTTAATCATGTATGTTCCTTTCACAAAATGAAGAGAGGGAGTGAGAGAGAGATGAAAAATAAAGGAAGATAATTCAAGCAAAAATATTTCTGTAAGTCGTGGAGGTTTGACGGGGGAAAAAAGCATGGCTTTAAGAGACTTTTTGGATTCGCGCGTAACATATTCAACTTGAGTAACAAGACTCTCTTAATACTTTTACAACAATTTCGAGGTGCATTCTTCGTTCCTCTTATTTTTTATTTTTTTCGTTTAAAATGCTTCTTAAAAAAATATTTTATTCACTTCGTACGGTAAGAATAACATGGTCAATTGAAAAATTTGCATCTTATTAAAATATTTCTGCATTTGTGCTCAAGGAATAACTTTTGTGGGAAAACTTTAGTTTCAGAGAAGCGCATTTCATGTGATCTTATCTGTTTCTCCTGATTTTAAATAATTTGGTGCTGATAGAATCAAGAAAAATGTTCTGACTGATTGGTTCGAAGAGATTTGACGATATTGGATCTTTCTTACTGCTTTAGAGTTTAGACAAAAATTAATTCTATTTCTTACTGGATCTTGTCAGACTGTAAAGAAATGATCAATTTTGAAGCTTGATTAAGTACATCCAGACAAGATCTTGTCTTAAAATCAAATTCATCTTCAATCTTCAGTCATCAACGCATAAGTTCTCAATGTGCTTTATAAAAACACATGCATCTCAAAATGAAGCTATAAATGTTGGCGGTTGGCGGTCTCGAAAAATTCAGATTTTTCTCGTAGTGATAATCATATCTTTGCCAGATATCAATTCTTTGTAACAATTTCCAAGAAATTTAAAATAATTAGAAAATACCAATTTTTTGTCTCCCTTTATTCGTTTTGCTCACGAGATGAAATTTATAATGATCTTTGCAGTTTCGTTTATATTGAAATTTAAGTGTTGTGCTTGTTGTGATAAGGAAGAATGTCAATTAATTAACGAATACAAAACTTTGAAATTTTCAACGTATAAATTATATTCAAAATAATTAACGGTTAAATTTCGAGCCCCAAAAATTTTCGTCCAATTTGCAATTTTCAATCAGTCGAAAAAGTTAAATTTATTTAATTGTGTATCAATGGAGGATATAAGGAACATAAATGATCTTGGATATACATTTGGGAAGTTAATAGGTAAAGGATGCTATGGAAAAGTATATAGAGTAAAATATACGGAGCAAATTACTGGAAAAACTGTCGATTTAGCGTGTAAACATATAATTCGTAGTCAATGCCCAACCAACTTCCTTACAAAGTTCTTACCAAGAGAACTGGATATTTTGAAGAAAGTATCGCATCCAAATATCATCAAAATACACAGCATGTTTCAATCAAACTCATCAATTTTCATCTTTATGAGACATGCAGAACATGGCGATTTACTGGATTACATCAAACGAAATGGTGTAGTCAGTGAATCTGTTGGAAATTTATGGTTCTATCAGCTAGCAAATGCAATCAATTATTTGCATTCGATGAATATTGCACATCGTGACTTAAAATGTGAAAATATTTTAATATCATGCAATATGAATCTAAAGCTAGCTGATTTTGGATTTGCACGTTATACGTTGAGCGTGGAAGATTTCTTTTCATCAAAGACTGAATTTAAGCTTTTATCTGAAACTTACTGTGGATCAGGTTAGTCAAATCTACAACTTACTGGATCTTGTATATTAATCTTCCTGGATCTCATTTTCAGCTGCTTATGCACCGCCGGAAGTCGTTTCAGGAACTCCATATGACATAATGAAGGTAGACGTTTGGTCACTGGGAATAATCCTATCAATAATTCTTAATGGAAGGATGCCATTTGATGACTCAAATATATCAAAACTAATTAAAGACCAAAAACAGCGAGCATACACGACAAACAGCGAAGTGATGAAAAAGCTTTCCAACGATTGCAAATTTGTGGTGCATATGTGTTTGGAACCAAATCCTGCTTTACGATTGAGTAGCAGCGAACTTCTTAAAACACCATGGCTTTTATATCAGGTAGAAAGGCAGGGAAATAAATAATTATTAAAATCTTTCATCTTTCTGATGAAAGATTCCTTTTTATAAAAGTCATGTATGTTAAGTTAATATAATAATCGGCTATTGTACACGCTGTCAAAATATATAAAACAGAGGATTTCAACGAACAAAAAAAAAAAAACAATCCGAATCAAGCTACAATAAATTACATTTTGACAATTTAATTAAATTTCACAACTTTATTTCATGTATCGGACAAGCATACCGAAAATCGATTCTTATTCTTGACTTTTTTTTTGTGTGTGCTCGAGAGCCTAAATATGTTGACTGCTTGTTCATTAACACCTTGAGAGAGAGAGAGCTCAAGTGAATTGGATTTGCATTCAAAAGATTGTTCAACAAGAATAGAATATTTTTTACTACATCCCATGAAATTGTTAACAACATGAAAATGTTTTTCCACCAATTAAAAACTGGTCTTAAGGCAGATTCTGGCTTTATGTTTAATTTTTTACTCTTTTTTTTTCTTCTCATATGTACAGAATGTGGAGACCACAAAAACATTAATGAATTAAATAAATCAACAGAATTTTAAAGATGTTTCCTTCCTTACAATTCTATATAAACCATTAAGAATACAGTCAGAGACTTAAGGCTTGTTGTTTTTGTAAGGAAGGTTCAAGATAACGAAAAATGCGAACAAGATACTTTGAAATTGAAAGATAATAAAAAAATGGATGGTGCTGGAAGTCATTGAATTATGCTCATTTTAGCGCATTTTTGGATGACTGGTTATTTAAATATCTGCTTGAAACAAAAATGCTAAATAGAGAATCAACAATAATTTAACGGTTTTATAGGATTTGAATTAAAAAAAAAACTTGAAAGTGTGCAAATGTTTGTCAATTCAACTTAAAACCATACAAATTAATCACAGATCACAAAAACCTTTCAAATCCTACAAAATTCTTAAAAACCTTACAAATTCTTCAAAATTTGTGAACCCTTCAAATTCTTTTTCAAAACCTTACAATTCCAAAATAAATATCAATCCTTACAAATCAATTTTGCTGGTCAATCAACCCCATAATACAAAGTATCCAAGAGAACATGACCAATAAAAAAACAACATCCAATCCCACAAAAACCGCATTAAAAAGAAAGAAATGAAAGTACTTCAAGACTTATTGCTTACAAAAGTGTACTTTGTATTACAATTTACATTCAAGTATATGCTCATGCATAAGAAAAAAAAGAATGCAGCATAAGCTTATCAATGAGATGGAATACTTCATATACTTAATAATTTAATGCTTTAACGATTTTTTCATTTCAATTTCAATTTGCATTTCTCATTATCATGTACACGATCAATATATCCCCACATTTACATACATTCTAAATCTTTTCTCTTTGTCATTAATGCCGCAATGATGATCAAATGAAGGAAGATGTTGTGTGAGTGAGATGGATAACTGGTAAGTAAGAAAATATGAAAATTAAACGTTTCGACAACAAATAAAAATTTCCATAAATATTTGAGCGTTAAATTCCTTGATTCCATGGTGCATGGAGGTCATAAATGTAAAACTAGCAGGCATAAAGAGACTTAAAGACTAGTAAAAATGTAAAGTAGTTAAAAGCAAATATAAATATTTGTAAGCATGTTATAACAAATAACAAATATATATGTAGGGTATAAAAATGTTTAAATACTAACTCTGTTGATGACATAAAGCCCCACATTAATCGTTTAATGTCGACCTGTTGATGGAAATATAATTTAATTTAAAATTGAACTTTAAAGTAATTCAAATTATAAAAAAAGCTAAGCTATTAAGTCACGATAAAACTTAACTCACGTTCTATACGTTCTTTTATCTCATTCTCGCTGGTATTTATTATTTTTTTTTTGTTTTAGCACATTGAGCTTTAAAACATTTTTTATATCCACATATTCTTGCTCTCTTCAAAAAACCGCAGAAAAGTTCATGAAAGGAGAAAAATAAAAAAATAAAAATATTTTTTCCAACATTTACCGCACACGTTGTGGGGCGTTTTTATATTTCAAATATGATGATGCTTAATGGTTCGATCGCGCTACAATTCTCAATATTTATTTAACAAAACAAAGAGATTGTATAATATGTACACACATATAGATACACAGAAAATTATATTTTAACAAAATCGCTTGAAAAAAAAGTTATTTCACATGCTGCAAGGATGGACGTGAGACAGAGAGGGAGAATAAATTCGATAATTACAGTTCACTGAGAAGAGTAAGCATCAAATTTAACCAAATTAGATTGGTTCATCCTCGTTTGTTATAATTTATAATACAATCAGAAACGAAAAAGAGAAGAAACTAGTTGAGTTGGACTGAATGATGGATTTCTGGTTGGGTAAGACGCATTTGTAGATTGGAAGTAACTCGATGGAATTGATTTTTCTTGATTCTAATCTTTTGTTTTCATTTCAAGATCCAAATTGGAATCTAATTAAATGCTTTACACAATAAGTTTTAAAAATGAACTAAAAACCAATTATCGAAGTTAACCTCAAAACCAAAAAATCATGTCTAATAGGCTCAATGAGCCAAAAAAGATTGAGCAGACAACAATTATTGTCTATCCAGTCAAACCAAAAACACTCAAATTCCACCACATCAACTGAATAAACAGGCTAAGAATGCGTTCGAGGCAACAGCCAAGTTAAACCATACGTGATTGACAGATACTCTGCAAACGATACAATTGGGTGATAATAGCATAATCATGATGTACCTACCGCACATTATTATTATTGACATATAGTAATGCAATGACAATTGAATAGTCTGTAATGTTAACAACTTCACAGTTCGATATTTAATGCTGTTGACTCCTTTTTCGGATCGCCATATCAGCTACTGTAGCGACAATAATAATAAACCAAATTTGGACATATAACATGTTACCGACTTCCATTATAGGCAGGCAATAAAGCTTCCATTTGAAGCGACAATTTCGCAGCTTTAATTGAATTGTGTGTGCATTCTTTTGACCACGCGTGTCATAGTGTCTTTAAATGGAAAATCAAGCACAAGCCGCCTATATAAGAATTCTGTGCTTATTATGGGAATATTAATTCAACATATATCAACTTTGTTGCATTGCATCTATCGTCGTTCTGTCGACTTGTCGTTTCTGCTTTTTTTTTTATTTTTATAAATGTCACATTAAATTGATTTTTACATACCTTGTGCAAATGGAATTTTGTTGCTTTGCTTGTGCTTATTTTGCTCAAAAAAAAAACAATCCAGGAGATGAAACTTCTTTTAGTCTCTCCTTATGTCGCATGCTTGAATATTTTAAATAAATTATTTAAGCCTCACCCTTGTCGAGCTGCTCACAAAAAAAAATAATATAAAAATCGCATTAAATGCACACAACAAGCCAATCAAAGCGTGAAAATTGACTTTGACAAATTAATTAATTAATGTCGTATATCTAAAAATAGTAGCATATGAGAAGCAAAAAAAAAGAGCAGATTAAAGTTGTCACGCAACATTTGCAATACATTAATAATTGAGGTAATATTTTATCAGGTAACAACAAAGTATCAACTGAGACATTTTTCTTAATGGTAACGATGCACATGTATGCATTAAATTGTCAAAAGAGAAAATAACCAATTTTTCATTTTTAAATATGTTTATTATCAGTACGGAGTGGAATATCATGGATGGGACATTGATATGGAACTAAAAGGTTGATGTTCTTAGCGGAGTAATTGATGCAGAGTTGTCAGATGGAAGTCTAGCTCAATTAAAGTAGTTTTCAACTTTAACTACGCACTACCTAAACCTAGATATTATGTTTAGGGGTCGTTCAATTATGACGTCCGAAATTAACGATCATTTATCAAAAAAAAAAAACAATGAATTTCCAAGAATTTCTATTGTTCATTTCTTGCTGACCCCCCCCCCCCCCCCCCCCCCTGGACGTCATAAGTGAACGGCTCCTTAGTGAAAATGAACAAAGTCAAACTAGGTGTGACGGATTGGATCCTGTTTTTCATATTTTTTTTATTGTATTCACCTGCCTTTTGCATTTTCATTTTAATTCTAATTTGAACTTGATTATTTATTTAATTGAACAACTTTTGAACCTCGTGTTTTTATTTCTATCCGTGACAGCGCATTGACATCATATGGTTCACAAAGAGATATTAGACAAGCCAATAGCAATAAAAGGAACTAAGACCATCGACTAATTGGATTAGACTTTGTGGATGGAAAAAGAGCACGTGTAAGGCCAAAGAACTTATGGAAAGAGGCTGATGATAGAGACAGTATTGCATTTGGTATAGGAAATTGGCAAGCGATAGAGCCAGTTTTAGGTGGCATCTGAGAAAGACCATGGATCACAATTGATCTGTAAGGTCATCCAAGTAAGTAAGTAAGACCATTGAACCTGATTAGTATTTCTGGGATCAACATCTTTTCAGCTTAGGGCTACAGACTTATTGTCGGGAAGTAACACTAGTCTTACGCACCATACGTCTCCTTTTCCTGGAAAAGTCTAGCTTTGAGTATGGACATTCTTACTCTGTTTAATTAAAGATATGTTCCTCATCTGAGGTCGGTTCCTTGTAAGGCGTGGAAACTCAGGATTAATCCTGAAATATTCCAAAAATCCTAAAACCATCCCTGAGCAAATAAACGTGGAAATGTGAAATCCTTTTTAAATCCTTGATGCATCATTAATCCTGAGTTTCCACGCCTCGGTTGCTTGTATACACTGTAAACACTTTACTTTAAAGACAATTTACTATTCAGAATATAACCCTAGCAGCCGACTTCTATTGGTTTGTATAACTGGTCAAGCATATTGTTTTTTCATACATACTGCTCTTGCCAGATTTTTAAGGTTTAGTAGAATATCAATGAACTGAAACTCTAGATTCACATTACTAAATGAATGACATTCAGGATATACTTCACAAACCTAACAATTTCTCGATTAAAATTGTGTAAACTCGAACTAATTCAATTAAAACTATAAAAAAGAAACAAATGCAATAAAATCAACATTCCTCCTATAACGGTTAACCTCACGAGTGCGGAAAAGTTAAATATATACCTATGCAAACACATCGATATGAAATAATGATCGAGATAC